TAGCCATTCGAAAGTACTTTTGACGTTAAGGAAAAGGTAAGGCCTGGGTGAACGCGAGTTACAAGCCATCAAAGTACAGCATTACTGGTAAAGAATTCAGCTCAAACGCTGGAGGACTTTGCAGAGAGGGGGAAGTGACTGAATCGGCTCCACAAACATTGGGAGCAGTCCGGAAGGGAGGAAAAGGGTGTCACACAGTTTGTCCTCCCAGCAGTCGTTTCAAATCGTCTGGACATTGCCCTCTCTCGTCTTTTATCGGAAGAAAGGACGAGTTTTCTCTGCCTTATCATGACTGGTAAAAAATAAAAGGCTTCGAAATCTATGAACCTGCACAATCTAGCGGAGCCTTCGTCATTAAATCTGGGAAATCAATGTAGAATAGTTCTATTATATCAAACTCAAATGTAAGTATGATGAATAGGATTGGAACAACCAAAAGCATAGCAGCCAAAGCGGAACCTTCAAGTATCAAGAACTACTGTTCCGTATTTATAAGGATGACAAAGAGTGGTGTGAGATGAACAAACAGAATGAAACCTTGACACCAGGTGTCCAAACTATCAACTGAACGTATGAAACAATAAATTGTTTTGAAAAAACAAGCAGTAACGAGTAACAGACGCAAAGTCATTCCCAGCATGAGAATGTTCGCCCCCATGTTACAAAAACCTTCAAGGAAACACTTGCAATTCGGATGAGCAATCCTTTTGCGCCCTGCAAACTCAACGAACATCGAAAGCTCAGATTACAATTTAGCAAGCACGTAGTACAGCCTGACTGGTACATGATCTCGACAAGTTACTGAAGTAGAGAAAAAGTAAAAATAGTTGTGAAGCGTGAAAGTGTGAGAACTTGGTCGATAAATGGGATAGCTTCACAATCGACATCGTTTCGATGCAATAGTGTCGCCCATTCACTGGGGATATGGATGGGCACATAGAAAATCATGGGGAATACTTTGACCGAAATAACTTCCAATTTTTCAGAATAAATGTGCTTCTATCAAAAAAAGTGACCAAAATCTGATTTCAATAACATTAACGTGGTTTGAAAGTGCTCCTTCATGTTCATGCGTTGCCGCATGGGCGTGAAGTTGAAAGCGTCAAATAACTAGTAGTTACTATTTAATTAATAGTCACTAATGGGTAAATAATAAAGTTTTTCTGCTCTTCAAAAGATTATTCAGAGAACATCAGACCATAATAATCTGTGCAGGAAACTGCAGTTCTTCCGAGTCTGTTCTATTCTCCCACACGATACAGGGTAAGGCAGATATAGAGCAACATTAACTTTGTAAAGCTATTTTAAAGAGTAACATTTACTTTGTAAAGCGATTTAAACTTTAAATGGTGGGTTGTAAAGTCCACAGGAAATACTATCAAGTTGACTGCCAGTTATTAAATTCAGTGAAAGACACATGTGTTGGCACATTGGCGTCAACACCTCCAAATTTAAGAAAAGGTAAAGTAAAAAAGCAGTAAACGCAAAATGGAGCACAAACAAACAAAAAACCGCTTCAGGGACAATTCCCAGCAAATGTTTTAAACACTAGCAAAAAAAAGATAGTTGTCTTATGCGTTGGAGGCACTAAAAAGATGTGTCGGCGTCGATGTTTATAAATAATAATCCCCTTGGATTACCATATACACTCGATTCTCACGAAAAACATCTTACTACCATCCTACATAGTTTGTGTGACAATTCAAAATGTCTGAAGATTGTGGGACTCAAAAAGTGTTTGCCAATTCAACTCACGTGTCATGCATCATGTCAAAGGTTTCGGAAACCGAAATTCGGAATGCAGCCACTCAGTGCTATTTTCCATCCCAACTTTACAAATGTACCGTAATACTTATCGAGATTTCGCTCAGAAGCAGGTGACCTCAATTTATCATTAAGGGCCAGGTGTGATATGACTCAGTTGGCCAGGTAGAGAGATTAATACTCAACCGATAAGATCGCGTCAGTTGTTTCGTCACAGACATCAGATTCTTTCACAAAGTTTTATGTACATAGAACGTATCCGAAATAACACTATGACTAGTAGTTTATTGATAATTTACAACGATGTTTGTTTGTTCAAAAGAAAACATAATAATGTAAAAAAAAAGAGAATGCACGAATAGTATTCAAGAAGGACCACTAACGTCGAATCCGAACACCTCATTACTGAGTAGGGTCACAAGCGACATAATTACATACACCATATGACGAGGGGGGAAAATATTCCAAAACGTAGATCAATCAAATCCGAATAATGACAGCTTCCAAAGAGCACATGAACAGGGGACAGAATAGATGATTATGACACTTCGTTCCCTTCTAGGTGAAACAGAGATTGGAATATGCTAGTACTGCCGCGTGCGGAGCGCGTCACGGCAGCCGTCTGACTCGTCNCATAATGCCTACAGGGGAATGGGGTGCCAAGAAAAAAACATTTCTCTTATAGTAGCACGATAGGAGGGGTCGTATCACAAACAAAAACAAGAACATATCGAGATCGATGTTGTAAGCCGTTTCTAACTTCTTTTCTTCACACTTTAACAATACTCATATAGACGCTACACATGGCGCTTTTCAGCAACCATTTTTTGCGCAAATGCCTTTAAGATACAGCTTTTCCTTGCCCAACTGAGGATTGTTGTTCAACTGCAGTATATCCATGTCGGCAGGGCGATTTTCTTCATCTGTTGACGATGATGTCAGTATTGAAGAGGTTGTCAGCACTGATGTCACCGAGAGATTGCCGTTTCGTACATCGGATGTGTAAACCTAAACAAATTCACAATAGGCACGGATTTGGTAAATGACTTGATCGGTCCAAGACGCGGTTGGCGCGCGGTTGCCGCTCGCCACAGTTAACCACAATGGAGCAAAGGTCACGTGCCGCATCCTGACCTAATGACCAATCTCGCATTTCAGTCAGACTCACGTCAAACTGTTGCGGGCAGCATACTACTGTGGCCAAGAAGTACAGTAAATTTGCATATTGCAGTAACCAGCTAAACATGTACTAAGAACACCCACCACATCTTGGTCTGCAGTCGAATTGAGTGTTTCAGGAACTGTTGATGATCGAACTGGAAGCATCTGAAACCAAAGAAGTAACTTCCGACAACTTCTTGTCAACCAGTAATAGAAGCTAAGATTACCTCGTTTTTCGAGCAGATCTCTTCATCAATACCACACAACTTCTCATTTAGCGGACTTATGAGACTAGTCACTAAAAATGTCGATGTTTAGGGAACACAGCTGCAACATTCACACTGGGAACAAAACTCACTCATTACCGGTGAACTCACTGATGGTCTGCCCAGCAATGTAAAATAGCTGACATGCTTGGCAGAACATCAGCAGACAAGTTCAAAGGTGTAGGCAGCAATGCCATCAGATGTGCACTTGATATTCACAACAAATTCCAAAAGAATGAAAAAAAAATCAGAAATGGAAATCGTTTTTGGGAGACGAGATCCCGAAAAAAACGTTAAACGTTGAACGCATTCCAATTGTCACAAAAGCCACACGTGCGTGCATGCAAATACATCATACATAGGGGCAGAGAATCAATAAATTCAATCGATATTCGTAAATATCGGGACTACGGATTCACACCGTGGAAATACACGACCAAGGAATAAACCTACACTTTCCGCTATATAATGGTTTCAGATTAAGAAAGGTGGGACGGGCTGAAAATGAGGTGATTGTTGATCAATAATTCATTGAATCCTAGTCGTATTGACAGATTCAAATTTTGTTTATGTTGTATTAAATTTGCAATTTACAGCAGTCCTCGTATCCTAATTACTGATTGATTATCATTATCAAATATCGTCAAATGCGGCCGCGAGCCGTCGCGTGCGTGAACGGATCGAAATCCAAGATAATCGATACAATCTGCATTTAGTACTACAACCTTTCGATCTTTCATCTTACTTACTTCCTTTTTTTCACTATGAAAAAGCTAGAGGCAAAAAGTTAAGCAATGCACTTATCGTGAACCGCCCACGCGACCGCTCGCGTCCCAGACATGAGTAACTAAGAGGCGTGGGCTTTACAAAACGCAGTTAGGCAGATCTGCTGCTGAGATCGTGTGAGAGAGAAAAAAAGGAGTGCGAACTTAAACATTGTCAGTGATTGTCTACGTGTTTTGAAAACAAGTAGAGCCGTGAGTCACCACCACAATATCGTTGTTAAACTAACAGCAAAGCAGTGTCGGTGAAAACTGAACGTTAGAAGACAAGAAGTTCAAGCCAAACAGCGAAATAAAAACTTTCAAAATAAAACCGAATTTGTCGACTCGATTACGTCAAGTAATAAAATGCAATGTTAAAAATCAAAGTGCCGACAGTGCCGTAATTCATGCCAACCGCGTGAAGCGTTCGCGTTTGGCTTTTTTCACGTCTGCGTTTCTAACCGTACTCTCTAATGATTGAAATCATCGGAAAAGAGCCAAATGGACTGCTGACACAAAACGCGCGACTACAAAAGCTGCGAATAAGCCCACCCATCGACGTCGTCGACATTGACATCGGCGTATCCGAAGGTGCCGTTGGTGCAGCAGGCCGATGATGATGCTCACCCACTGGCTCACCCTGTCGTGGTGCCATCGACAAATGGTTGAGTGGCTGAAATAGTCATAATTTAAGAAATTTGAAAAAAGCCGGGAAATAGAGCCCGAAAAGTCCAAAAAGCCTAGGTTCCGAGAGAAAATTTCAAGACTCGGAGGATTTGAAAAGGTCTCCAAGTTGCTAAGATATTCAAAAAAAAAAAAAAAACGAGTTGAAGATGTTTAGAGCTGTCATTAGGGCCGGATTCGGAATCCCTTCTGTCTTAGTGTCCCGGTGATTTCGTCATTAAATGGACTACCTTCTGCTGTCCGCCATTCTTGGAAGTTTACTTCACGCGATTCGTGGCTCCTCGTAAATTTATGTGCTACCATACCTGGACTTTAGGGCACTACCCACAGAGCCCTGGCAGGACAGGCCGATTTTTCGACATCAAGCCTGCTTCAATTTCGTATTGATGCACATTTTTGAGGTAATATTTAAGTTCGCTATCTTCCCCATCACAGAATGTAATGACTTACTAATGAGGCAGCGTTCGGGAGGCTGACAGCCCGCTTCATTCGGAATGACTGACTTGGCATTCCGAAATGAGAAAGTCGTTGTTGCCGTTCTCGTCTGAATTACCACAGAAATCGATTTTTCTGGTATAGGGTACACTTTTATCTTGCTTATAGCAATCGATCGATAATTGTACCTGCTCAGCATGTTGGTGATAGCAACCTCTTGTCGGAGTCGATCCAACTTTAACATTGACTCAACGGCTTGAATTGACTTTGTGTAGGCTTCAATGTAACTGAAACTACCGAAAATAATTCATGAAAGAACTATTAGAACAAGTCGGTCTGTAAATGCTCTAGACAGGGACGAATGAAAAGCCTTCGAGTACGGAGATGGCTTCGATGCGGCGCACTCCCACCCATCGGTAACCGTTACCTCCCTAACTATCTGAACTGCCGCAACGCGGCCGCGTGCAGAATTGCGCTCTATTGCGGCAGAGGAAACATCTTGAAGGTAATTAAACAGACCTTAACTGCCGATTCGAATGTCTGCTGCCATCGCTACCGATAGATATCTCGTCTTCAGAAGCAGTCGTATGACGCGCAGCCATCAACGCTAATGAGGATCGTTCCTCCATATCGTGTGATGACTGAAATCACTTACAAACTAGTTTTCCATCTGATTTAGGCTGGCTTTGTAATATGTTGCAGATATCGATTAGCACTATGAGTGCACAGGTGCGAACAAGAGTGGCCAATCGATACATGATCTCTTGCCCGCGCGCTCCTAAATGCCGCTCGAAAATCGATTGGATATAGTAATACCTACCTTGGGTAGATGTGCTACGACGTCGTAATACACTGCAGTACGATGTAGCGTCTCTGATCCAACGATTCGTTTTCGAATTCGATCCGTAAGACTAGCCTTCTTGTATATATTGAGACAAACCCGTTTGCGAAGGACTAACTCCATGGAACACGGATGTGAGAGACGTACACCGACCTGATCAATTCACTTATACAAGTATAACTTGAAAAGTGAAGCAGTGAAAAGCTCGTCTTCAAGATGAACTCGGCAACCAACCTTGACTATGGCGTACACTTTCTCGTTTGAAGATGAAGGAACGTTTAGAGCCGGATGATCATGAATCGAGCTGTCCCAGGAACAGGTAGCGATTAACTAAATAAACACATTTAAAATATGTAACACTCTCTAAAAGATTACACTACCTCTTTATCATCGAAATGCACGATTGGAAGCATGACCAACGGACCGCCGCTTTCTTCCTTAGGCAAAAATGAATGTATACCCGCCACACGAGGAGTGTTCTGAAACAAAACACAATGCATCTCTTGTTCTGAACAGTTTAGACCCAACAATGGCGCGCACTGATGCGGTGCAGCATTAGCGGAATAATCGATACCCCGTGAAGCGGAGTGAGTTCGTTTATCGACCGAGCGGCGTCACTGCCACGCATGGGCTCACTCCAATCAGAAGAAGCTAGTTACCTCATCACTCGTCATCTCTCCCGTCATGTCATCGGAGTTCAAGTCCAAGAACAACACGGGCACGTGCTCTTCGACGCCAGGCGGAGGGACCCTTGAAGATACTTGTAATGAGAAGTCAAGTTTGACTACTTTCAAAATAGGAAACACCATCAAAACAAGTAAAACGAGTATAACGGCAATCGAGAGCTCGGAACGGCTCCGAAAAGTGAGGGCGAAATCGTAGCAAGTATTTTGTTATGAAATTAGCGCAGGGAGTAATCGTAACGTGGAAAAATAAGTATGGCCCGACAGGACACACTCAGGGGAACAGCCTTGGAAAACGATCCTTTATGGATCGATCCATTTTAAAACTGAATATAAAAATAACCAACTACTTACCAATCACATGGAGCTCCAGGGATATCAGAATTTGGTGCTGGAATGGAGACTGCTGTACGTTCTTCCGTTAACGAAATCCACTGTCCCATTAACGAGTGCTCGCGTTCGAGTTCGGCCTCGGATTTGGCGGATTTTGAACAGAGCTGAAAATTGCACGCATTTTCTTCACTTCCTTACTATTGTTTCATATTACAAGTTAAATTCAGTACTATCTCGAAGTACTGAAAATTGTTAAACGAACATTTTGCACATTTATGAGACCAGCAAGTAGCCAATACGTCCTGATGCGCTGACGCGGCTGCGTAGAGGTGCCAAGATTTGTTTTCCCGCAATGCTGGGGAAAGCATTTTCTATCCTTGTTTTAGTTTTTGAATTTTAATAGTTCACAAAAAAAACTAATCGTTTTCCAGGCAAGGGTCCATTTCATTGACAGAAAACAGTTCATACAGCTAAGTACAGCTAGCTGCACTGCAATACCAAATAAACAACAGCTCCCGAATTTCGGAACCTCAGATCGATAATCGATTTATGAAACTTGGAACGACTTACAGTATCCAAAAGTTTCACTTACCGAGTCCAATTGCTGTTCAAGGTATTTCTGTCGACTTTGCAACGCCAACGTCCATTGTGCGCGTAGTCGCTCAAGATCTTCTTCCTGGGAATGAGCCATGTTACAGAATGAGGGCGTATATTTACTGCTAAAGCTGTTAGGTTACCTGGTAACTATCGAACATCCTTCGGTCACCTGCTTCCGAAACACATACACATCCAATGCTTACACTTGTTATCGTGTCAATGCCAAGAGGTAGACCGGCACCATGTTGAGGAAGCGACAAACCCACAACGAGACGTCGTTGTTGACCCTGGAAGTGAGGTCGACAATGTAACCAGCTGAAGAACGGGAACCGATAGAAAAGATAGAGTTACTTGTTTGAGCTGATGAACTCCACCAGTAGCCACATCCTCCTGCTGTCGCACCTCAACTGGTACCCACTGGCCGGTTTCGCTAAGTTCCCGGAATTCTGTCCACAGTTCAAGCCGCCTTGACACTTCAGACCACCTCGCCTGAATATTCCAAATTTAAAACTTTAAACATGAACCAAAACGGAGGTTTTGAAGCAAGGTCAGAAGATAATGCTACCCACAGCCTGGTAAGTAGATCAATTCTTGCTTAAGTTTACCAATCTCCTGACCCGCGAGCTCGGTTGAATGAAATCAAATTCGTTCAATAGGGCCGGAATCTGAGTCACCACCGTCGTTTGAATTGGGATGCACTGTGCCGTACAAGTTTCCGACGCTGTCCTCCGATCTGCTGTCCTAGTCTGATTCACATTCCCGGGAGACGGGCAGTAGGAACGGTTTCGTGTAATCGATACGCCGCACGCGGCTGTCGCGGACCATTTGCCTCATTATAACAGTTCTAGCGTTCTTCATACAGCTCAATCGTTATGCGGTTATTACTTTTGGCATTGTTCTACTGTTAGTTCTTTTGTCCCTGCATTTCTTACTTGGTGCTGCATCCTGCTACACCCCTTCGCCCGCGACGTCTCCCTCGCCGCGACGCGACAATTGCGTTTCTACTGCACCACACCCCACATTCCCTGAACAGAGTTACAGTTACAAGGCCGAAGAGCGGTTATAGGAGGGGGAACCACCTATAACTGCCCTTCGGCCCTGTGACTTCCCCTATTTTTCCCACCCCGTGTAAAAGTCATGAGTGCAGTGCTGCTTACAGCTATCGAGTCGAAGGATCAATCTTTCTTCAAGGGAGGATTCTGAAGAGACCATTAAGAATTCCTGGGAGATTCAGTTTCATTCCATTCAATTCACGGGCGTCAAAAAGTATTCCATCCCTCTCAAGTGAATCAATATTGCCCAGTTCCTATTGCTGGGAACCTTCTCCTGAATGATTCTGGTAAGCGATCCTTCCTACGTGTAAATGCTGCCGAACCCGATCAAACATACTGTAGAAAAACCAAAAGGCGGATTTACAAACTGTTCTCATTCGCTTACCTGCAATGACTTGTTCTTCTCCTCGGCATCAAGTCTCGGTTCACCCTCCTCGACAGCTCCTCCATTTCGATGTCCCCACACCTCAATTGACAACGCGTCGTCCTGCACATATTCGAGGAACTCTTCCGTAACAACGACTTTGAAGTCCTGGAATTGAAATGGTTGTGGAACCGGGTAACC